TATGTAGATATACAAAAAATCATTGTTTCATAGTAGCCCGTGTGTGCATTTGTGCTGACCGAAACCTGACCGCTATAGACAAATACCACGACTTTGTCCACCACGAGCAGCTACAAGTGAAAGAGTCGCACTGTACAGCCACTAACTATCGCAGTCTGCAAAAAGTCGTTATTTTTCGTTGCTACATTTCTCCGTACAAACACTGCATTCATAAACATTTGACTGCTGTGGTGTGAAAAGTGGCAGCAACGCTTTTGCATTGCATTGCTAAAACCGCGTAATTAACCTGATTTTACTAAAAAGAAAAAGAAAAGTTGCATCGCCTGCAACAAAACGGCTGCTATGAAGACAAAATGGGCTTGAAAATTGCGTCGCTGCATAAAAAAAAATCACCGCAACAACGACTACACCATTCAACGGGCAATGCATTGCTTTACTTTGCCTTACTTGTAACTAGAAATTTAATTAAAAAATAGTAACAACAAATGGTAATAGCTACGGTGGCGTGAATGGTAGCGGCGACAACAACAGCGTCAACTTTGGTTTGCTGTGCTCGAAGGCGACTTAATTGCAGCTGGCAGTCGGTTGCTGTCGCCTCAGCGGGTGATGAATGCAGCCGCATTTGATTGCTTTTTCTTGGACTGGTTCCCCTATTGGCCACTTCGATTGGCTGCCTGGCTGCCTAGTTGGCTGGTTTTTATTGATTTTGTGCTAAATCAGCGCGTACGACAAAATATTTCGCACTCTCACTTGTAATAGCCTTAAGAAACTCTATGAATATTTATGAAGTGGAAATAATAATAAAGCCACAGCTTGGTAAAGGATTATATTTAATTGATGCAAAATTCCAAACTTGTCAATATAACTAAAGAGGCTTAGGAAAGTATACAGCCGAAAATATTTTTTAGGAGGGTTGCCAACTGTTTTTGAAATTTTTTGAAGTGAAACTTCTTTAGCGGCGGTTGGTTGGTTGGGAGTAAATTGGCAAGTTCAAAGGAAATTGCACACGGAAATGGTGCAACGGAAATGGTGCAACGGAAATGATGCAACGGAAAGGGTGCAACGGAAATTAATGGGGCTGAAACAAGTGCTTCTTGAGTGTATGGTATTAATTTAACAAAAACTTGATAATAAAATGGTGCAACGGAAATGGCGCAACGGAAATGATGCAACGGAAATAGTGCAATGGAAATTATTGGGGCTGAAACAAGTGCTTCTTGAGTGTATGGTATTAATTTAACAAAAAATTGCTAATAAAAGGTTAAAGAATAAAAATTAGAAAAATACCAATACAAGAATGAAAGTAAAGGTGAGTACGTACATAGATAAAGAAAAGGATAAAGGCAAAGGTAAAAATAAAAAGAAACCCAAAGATGCGTAAAGATAAAGGCAAAAATGAAGACCAAAGTAAATTTAAATACTTTACTTATATATATAAGTAGGCAAGTCAAATACTTTTTATATAAAACAATTTTTCATGGCAAAAAATCTCCTCCTCGCAGCGCACTTAACCTGTTTAAATCGCCTCTAACCACACACAAATCAGCTTAAGCTATTGGAATTACCACCCGTAGTACGAGCAATCAAAGCTTAAGCTTCGCTTAAGCGCTAAAATGCTGCAATTAAATGCGTTTTCAAGCGTGCACATTTTGATCAACGTTAAATTAGTCAATTAAGCGATTGGCTATACTAGGCGATAAATTGCAGGTACCGAAAAAAACCAGTTGACAAATTAAGTTTTTCGTTTGAAAAACTCGCGCAAAACAAACGTGAATTATATATGGAAAAAGCTTATGACAGTACGTGTGGCAGCGTGAAAGTCAGCCGCAATCGCAAGCGTGTAATCAAAGCGACACCAACGCAAGCGCAGCGTGTTTAGCACAAGCTCGAAACAAACAAATGTACACACAAAAATAATCTGTAATCGTACAAAGTTGACATGCATGCGACGATTTGTAAACATGTTTTGATAATTTTTCAATTTTTGGCAACACGCGAATAATTTTTGGTTTTCTTTATATGGCAGTCAAACAGCAATTGAGCCGAGGTTTTGATATTCAAGTTTTTTGCGTTTATTTCACATGAGCTGCGTGCGCGTTATCTCAATTACATTTAACAGGTGTTTAATTGTGGGCTGAGACAAGTAATAAAATAGAATTGAGTTTAACTTGACAAAACTACCTACTAATACGCATTACAAGTATGATACTATTTTAATGTTAAAGTGCTGTTTTTTATTACCTCTGGTTTTCCAATTGCATTCAGTGCGTTGCTGAAAAATTACATGCAATCCCATTTGTTTTTAATGAAATCATATTTATGCATTTCCGTTGCATTTGATGTCGCTTGACATGAGAGTTCGTTATTGCATTTTAATTTTCTTGCATAAGTAAGCGTTATGTCAATAACTTGGTTTCTTTTTATAGCATTTTTGTTGTTTTGTTTTTTCTTTGTTTTCATAGTTATTACATTTTGCATTTAAATCTTTAAAAATGTCCCATAAGACATTCATAGCCTACTTAAAATTAAGACCTTCCCACACCCATGAGCGACCAGACGACATTGAAACAAAAGACTTAAGACACAAACTTAGTGGGAGTAAACGCTAATGCGCACGGACACATTGTACATATACATATATATATACATACGTATGTAGGTGAAATATTGAAACAATTTATTTTAGTGGAGTTTTTTAAGTCTGGAAATGATATAGATGAAAAAATTTACGTTTGGCTTAAATTCTGGGAATCACGGAAGTCATGACTTTAGCTAAGCCTCTTCCGAACATACATTTCCTTGAAAAATTTTCATTATCAACTGCCAAAGGGTACACTAATATTAAACTGGCCTAAAAATGTATATTTATGCAAATAAAATATTCGTGCAGGCATTCTTTCATCTTCTCTATAAATCATGTTTGCCGTGTGTTGTTTTGCCTTTATAAATTTTAAATATAAAGTGTAGCCTTGAAATTAACTAAATAGTCAGTCAAACTATAGGAACTGATTAGATTTCAGATATCTTATTTTATAGTATGTCATTGAAATGTAGTTTTGATGCAGGCAAACAAAAGCTTTTTTAATTTTCGGCAAAATAGCTGCTTTGTTGGCATCAGGGATGGTCTTATTTTACGCATATGATTTCTCGTGCTACCTCTCAGTTTATTTATGTTATATAAGAAAGTAAAAACTGCCATAAACGTGCTTTATACTATGGACCGGGAATACATTCTCAACTCACTTAAGAGATGATCAGTCTATATAATAAATACTGACACCAGAGCACTAGTGCTCGTAACCGAGCATATTTTTCTCGTGGAAAGCAAAGCCAACATGGCATTCCTATTCGAAATAGACCAATTTAACAAGATAAGCGTTTATTTAGCCAAGGAGAAAACAGGAGCCATTCTGATAAGCAACCAGAAATAGCTTTCTCCACAGTAGGGAAGCATGTGATTAAATCATCACAACAGATCCACAGCTTTGGTGTGGTAACCGAGGATATACCGTGTAAGCTGCTAAAAAGCTTCCAAAATGTATATAGCTCTTTCAAATACTTTTTAATATTAGAGGGGAAAGTAGAAGACTGGTGCTTCCTAGGGTAGTTAGTTTTACTATTTTGTATGCGAAATCTGTTTGGCCTGATTAACTCAAAGTGAAAGCATACATCAACTGCAGCAGTACCGCACAGCTGGAATGGTTATTGCAAATATGGTACCTTTCTCAACACAGGCAGAGGACACGTGGAAAATATCAAAGCGAAAGGAAAGGCATAGCCAATACCATCAAAGAAAAGAAAACCGCATCCCCCATTTACCCATTTTTTCATAGTAACTATATTTTATAGGTCCTCCAAAGCCCCCAGCAAATGCCAGAAAATACCATGGCGGAAAATGCAAAATTTTTAATATTGAAATATGGTAAAATAAACAATTGGGTATTGTTATTGGGAGTCTCCTGCAGAGAACCAGAGTTTTCCGATAAAAACATATTGATTTTCAAGAATTCCATACCATTTCTATAAAAAATGTTTTTTCCCATATAAAATACAAGGAAAACTTTGAGCGCTTTGAGCGACCTCTAAATATTTTTTTATTTCAAACTAAAAAAATAAGGGTATGTTTTTTTGATATAGAACAATCCCAGGAGGTGAGACTTTACTGGTTTTGGTCATTATTTTAAAATTTTGATGAACATCCGTTTTTAGCCTAGCTGGTTTTCCTACAGGGTACACAGAATACTCATTTACTCAGAAAACAATCAGCCATTAAGTTAACCACGCAAGCTAGATTTTTACATATGTACCACTTAACGCACACCCATACGCAACTATTTGATATTAAACAAAGAATAAAGCACACATAAAAATAACCAACCCAAAAGTGTTCAATTGTAACCGCGTCAAGGCTCGTAAATGACGACACCTCATGCATTTTGATGCCAATAAAATATCGAACACATTATCATGGAAACAAAAAAAATTAAAAACCCATAAAAAATTACAGAAAATGTGAGTACGTGTCGACAAACGGAATACCAAATGAAGGCATTTTGTGGCAGCGACTCAGAGGTCGCACGCTTGTAAGCTGCGTACGCCTAAAGGCAATGAGACAACACAATTCAAGTCAGGCTAAGCCAAGCTAAGCTTAAGATTACTATTTGCAGCTGATATATGCATAATTTTGCATTTTTTTTTTTTATTGGTATTCCTTATAATTTTTTATTTACAATACAACAATTTTCTTTGCATAATATTTCATTCCTTTTATCGAGCTGCGTAAATAAATAAAATTCAATTGAAGCAAACGTTTTGTGGCGCGCGCGATTAAAATCAGCAAACGTTCGCTGTTTTTGTGTTGCTGTGTTGGCGCGCTAACAGCGAATACTTAATAATGTGACAACAATTCGCGGTAAATAAATACGTATAGATATATGTAAGTGTGCAATAAATGTTTGTGTTTGTTTTTGTGTTGCACAACAACACTTTGGTACACGCACCTTTAACACTTTGCCAAATGGGGGAATGCTGCTGACATGCAGCGACAAGCGGCAACAACAATGCGGTAGACAAGCGAACTGCTGCTGAAGAATGGGCAATTCTTGCTTTGCTGATGTTGTTGTTCTTATTGTTGCTGTCGTTGCGATTTCCTTGTGCTGTGAATTACAATTACAATCTGTATGATTTCCGTGTTGTTGTTGCTGTTACTCTGATCGGGTGTTATTACACCTTTTATATGCCGGAAATTTTTTAATCCCTCTCCGATAATCCAAAATTGTTGTCGAATAATATTTTGTGGAGGTTTATTTTTATTGATGGTTTTTTTACGAGTTTGTAGAATTTTAAAAGCTTTTAATGTGAGCAGAATATTTTTATGTTATTCACTAGAAACTTGCCCACAGAAGTAAGATCGGTGGCAGTTTTTAAAATTTGTTGATTGGTCTCTTATTAAATTGTTTTAGTTTATGTTAGCCAATATTTTCAAAACTTTTTATTTCAATTATATTGAGTTTTCTTTCTAAAGTACTTATTTTCGTGTAGTTGAACTAACAGGGAACAGAAAATGTAAAAAATTGTTGCCAAAAAATTTTCAAAATCCGAAAGTTTTGCAAAAAAATTGTTTGCCAAAATATTTATTTTAAAAGTCAGCGCAAGTATGTTTTTGATATTTAAATTAAAAATGGGTAGAATTTTTCATTGATAACCTTTACTTAAACTTTTCTACAAAATAAAGTTTAAAGGCTTTTGTAAAATATGTATATGCACTTTTTTCATTAGAAATAAAGATGCCATTTTTACAAGAATTCTTGTTCGATATTCTTTTAATGGTTTAAAAAAAAAATTATTCATTATTGCTTTTGTGAAAAAGTAGAAAATTTAACTAATTTTTTTAATTAATTTTACAGGATAGTTTTTTAAGGGAAGATGCTTTTCCATGTTTAACTATTCATTTAAAAATATATTTTTAAAAAGTATTTAGAAAGAGTTTGCATGAAAAAGCTTTACATCTTTTTTAAATATCTAAATTGTATCAATAAAATCAGACCGGCAAAATATTTACGGAACTTTAAAAGTATGAAATAACTGTTTTTATCTAATTTTTTTTTACAAAAATGCTATATTTTTTTACAAAATCTGTATGCTTTTTAAGGTATGTAAAGCTACAGTCACTCAAACAAGTGTTCACATGTTGATTTTCTTTAAATATTCTCAAAGTTTTTCAAGTAAAATTTGTTTATTATTTTTCATTCAAAACATTGTTCAAGCTTTAACCAAAACCATACAAATCAAAAATTCAAACTTCATAAAAAACTAAGGAAAATTCAATATATTTTCAGAAAAATTTCGATATTTTTATCTTTACAACATTTTTGAGTATGCAGTTTTATATAATTTGAATATAATGATGTACTAGCTTCAAGCGGCAAAAAAATCGTAGATTTTTAAAATAATTTTTTTGCCTGACGGATTTTTGCACTTTTTTCCATGTAATCATGAAATTCTTATGAAATTAAATGAGGGAGACTGTTCGAAACAAAATTTCAATAAAGCAATGCCAATTTTTGTAAATTGCATAATTAAATTAAAACAGCCGCAAAAGCAAACCCCAAAAAAACTCTCAAAAATCAACGGAATTTTTTCAAGCTGGGTGAAACTAAAAAATTTTTTGAGTTTTCATAAATTTTGTATAAAGTCCGAGACTTTGATTCTTTTGGTTTTGCTAACGCTTGGACAATATTTTTGTAGAAAAATAACCAACAAAATTTTACTTGAAAAAAGTTGTGAATATTAAAAAAAATCAGCACCCGAGTACCTGTTTTTTTCCCTGTGTATAGTTTTTTAGTTTAAATTTTTGTTTTTGCAATTTATATTAGTTTATTTCTGGCATTTTATCTTTAAAAATTTACATTCAAATATTCCACAATTTTCGTCTGTTTTTTGTATTTGATAAATAGTCATTTTTTTTAGTGGCATTGCGACGCTTTTTATAAGCTTTTATTTTTCTAATTGTATCTATGTATTTTATTATTAATTTTGGCAAAAGCAAACACCGCACTTCAGTTTAATGGACATAATCTATTCTTAGCGGACATAAATTTATTAATCTTTCTTTAATCACTTATTAATCACTTTTGTTGTTGTTAGTGATTCCTGCAGACATGCATTGCTCTTTTTAAGCACTTTTTTCTTACTTTCATCTGCGCACTTGCGTGTTGGTTACTGCTGTTGTGTTTGTTGTTTTGAGTTCTCACTTGTGCTCTTTTATTTTTCTTTCTGACATCAAACAACATCTAACCGTTTTTTCGCGCCACAAATGCTATAAAAGTAGCGGTATTTTCATGCTAAAACGCAATCCGCAACTCAAGGCAAGCTGTTGCAAGATTTTTTGTTGTTGTTATTTTTCTAAACAAGAATTGATAAATATGCGTAAAGCACGATAGATTGGAATGGAGGTGAAGTGTTGAGCAAAGAAAGAAGATGAAATTACTTGGCGAGGTCTTAAAGGAAAATACTTTTGGTCTTTTGTCAAAAAAACTTCTCCCTAAATGAAATAAATTTAAAAACTGCTAGCCAAAACTACTTCTTCAATAGCATATTACGAGTCTCTAAAATTTAGTTATTAGCAGAAAATTTTGATCACAGATACATATCGTTACCTCAATATAAGAACGCCCTATCTCATATTTTGAAAATTTAGCGAAAAAAAAAGTTCTACAGAATTTCGTCGAAGTGCTAATTTGTATTAAACATAAAATTTTACCTAACGCTGTAATATTGGCCCTTGATTTCTATTAGATATATTGTGATCTATTTGACAGATTTTGTGTAAATCTGGACTCGAAATCAAAATGAGGAGGTATATAAAGGAGACGGGATGGAAACCAGATCTGTCGACTTAAATTGTTGGGCGATTGGAGAACAGCGCTTTAAAACCTTACAAATACCCAGAATATAAATGCTTCCACAAACAGCAGAACACTGGTGAAAGGTCTGAATTCAGGAAGTGGTGCTAAGTAAAGGCAATCACTTTTCACTTTTGTTTCCATGGTTTTACTAAGGGCAGATGATAAATTTTCGGGCGAATCTCTTTTCAGGCGAAACTTAGGACAGGGCAGAATAAGAATTCGTTAAACCGCTCCTAAAATTGTAAAAGTAAAACTGTAATTTTGAAAACATTCTTTTATCGGATCGCTCTTTCTTTTTTCAATATATCGGCACTCTGATGTAGGGGAAGGTACTTTGAATCTACTAACAATATACACGCAATACATACATAATGAAGAAATTGTAATATTATTAGACCAGCACGGAAAATAACCGAGATGCCCCATTCCGTAAATATCAACAACGAGAACCGAATCAGTCCGTCATCTTACTAGGCACGAAATTGGAACTTTTGCAAGCTTCCTTACTGGTCAATTCAGCACTTGTCAAACCTGGGAGTTGTTTACTTTGACCAGTACAGATTGTTTTAGGAGGATACAGCAGTGCCTATTTTGTGTCAATTGTTTACTAGGCCCAGACTTCACTTGCTATGATCGCCATAACAAAAAGCGCATGCCTAAATAGCATCGGGCGAGGTTCGTAAATGATACGTGCATCAAAGAGCATCTTTAACCAAATAGAAGTATGTCCTTGGTCGCGTAAACCGGGTCACTTTCCAGAAATCAGTCTAAGTAATCTTTTTACAAAAATACCTTTATATGGGAGGTAAGCGTTGTTCTTGTTCGATTTAAAAAAATTGCTTTGCCTTGATTAGTGCGAACACATCAATGCTTGCACCGAACTTCGTAAATATTGTTGAATCGGTTATTAAAATATACATTTTTATTAGACAGAAAAATTTAATTTTCTGTTTAAAGATTTCCCCATATGCCAACTTTGAGCAATTTAGGTGCTGCAGATACCAAAATATCGCAATTTTTGCATTTAAGAAAAAAGTCTTTGTACCGGAAGTTGACCTAATATCAGTCCGATTTCATCCGTTTCAATAGTACTTAGTATGTTGGACTAATAGTAACCTATACACCAATATCTATCTCGATTTTGTTAAGCTGTAATAAAGTTATAACTTTGTGCACGCTTGTGTTCCGCTTTAAAAATTATTTTTGTGTTTCTTAATGCGAATTTTTGTTCATGTCCATGTCTTATTTAATTACCAAAAGTTTATTGCTGTGTGTATTTTTTAAATTTTATGGTAAATTTTTTTCTAGACTTCTATGAGTTTTGCTTTTTTTTGTAACAAAAATTGTAATTATGCTTCTCCAAGCTCGTCTTTTGCAACGTCATGCCAATTCATGCAATTCACATATTTTTTATATATTTTTTAAATTCACACATAAGTACATCTGCTATCGGCGCACGATTTACAAGCAAAGCACTTAAAAATTCGACATGCGCATTAGACTGGACAACAAATTTTCAAAACTATACAATCCATGAACGTTCATACCTTTTGTTTTGTTTTTGTTTTTCTATTTAATTATGCGATTGTTTAAGCACTACTTAACACGACAAATAAAAACTCGATAACGATATCCATAAAATTGGACCCGAAACTTGTATGCTCGCATCATAAATCGAAAGATAACCGATAGATTTATAATCGTGTAACGCGACACTTTAGCGACACAAAACGACAGGTGTTACTGCACGCCGGCACGTTTTTACTCAAACTGAACTGAAACTTATGCGCAGCCGGTGAATGCGAGCCAAAGCAAAGCAAAGTGAAGTTGTTTAAAGCGAACCAACATGGAGCGGACACGATCTCTCTTATATTTCTCTCAGCATGATATTCTTCTACTTTTTCGCTACTTGCGAGTTAATAGTTAGCCAAGTTTGGCGCTTTCTTGTGCCATTTCCGTTTCATTTGCCATCGTATTCCTCCTGCTTTTTGAACGCTAGTTGGGCCGCTCCATATAGCTTGCAACGTGTTTACTACAATTATTGCCATCCAACTCGAGCTTGGTTGGACCAAGTCGGTCATTACGATCAGATGATTAATTTTCGGTGATCTTTTTTTTACGCTTTTCGTAGTTTCCACTCATTTTTCCCCCTTTTTTGCTGTTTACATTTATTGCCTGTTGTAATTTGCTGGAAATTATGATTGAAAGCAATTTGTTACTGTGCCTTCCTGCGTTGACTTCAGTTGGCGGTTTTTTGTTTATGCCTAGCAGACCATTAGTTAAAAATAGTCTACAACGCGGATTTGGCGCTTTTAAGACCGAGGTTTTTGTGTGTGTGTGTATGTGCATTGGCCGCGCTTGTAAGCCTGGTTTTTTTTAGTCATTCTACGCGTGTACCTACACTTTGTAATTAAGTAATTGCGTTTCGCCTTCCGTCGTTCTTTTGCTTCTCTGTGGTTACAGTAGTTGCCCATTTATTGTTCGGCAACAGTTTTATGCCATGCTTTTGCTCACCGATGATTTATTGATTAAGTTGTGCACAAGATTTTATTTTACAATAGTTTCTTAATTTTTATTTCTTTTAATAATTTGCTGTAAGACCTTTGACGTTGGGCGCAAAGTGGAACGAATGAATTTTAATGATGGCTTATGGTGATAAATGATGTAAGCCAATAGCTTTTCACAGCCTTCTAGAAATAGGTTGTGGTTAATAGGTGTCAAAGTGTCAGCGCTCCAATATTAAAATTTTATGTAGCAAGAACACAAACATTTAAGTCGATATGTAGTTACAGATGCTCATTTATGAGATAATGTCTTAAACGTTTATTTTTATAGAATTAGCTCAGTTTAGACTATATAAAAAGTTAAGCCGCACTGGATCAGGATAAAATCCGATTATATTACACTATATGTGTAACGAGGATTCAATTGTTACAAAAACTAGACTGGAATGGTTTTTGAAATCGGTTAATCCATTGAAGTATCCGGCATATTCGCCTGCACTTCCGCAAGTGGGATATAGGTAATGATTACCAGCTTATTTAATTTATTTATTATCTTCCACTAAGAAATAGTTTTTCGCATTTTTTTACAAACGTGTAATTTTGAGTTGTGCCCCTTTTGAAGACCATGTGCGATATGTCACTGGATTTCCAAACTTTTGAACTGCTAGATAGTAATGACTGAGTGAGGTTCGGGAATGATATCCAGGACTGGTGCTCTGGTGATAGTCAAGATCTTACCCAGGATGAGAGGTACATAACGGCTTGAGCTGATGATTTTGCCATTACCATCTCTGATAAATATGTATATAAGCTCGATTAGTGAAACACATAGAAAATTTAAAGATATTCACAACTGGGCAAGAGAGGTAGGGCTCGAAGGATGTCCAGAGAGGGTGATTTGGCGTCCAAGAGGGACAATGGTATGCTAACTCCTAAACTATTTGTCAACTGTATCACGAATCAAAAGGTTTGAGGTTGAGGGGATAAAAATACGTAACTTTTGTTTGAAACTTTTTTCTCGGAAGTGTCTTCGAAATCGCAAAGGTTTTCAAACCAAAAAAATATGATGCTCTATCTTTTGGTCATATTACTGACTTCCGTTTTCGACCGGAAATAGGTTACACAGGCCGGATGTGCATTGTTTTAGCCGGAAGTTCATCCCAAAATAAGGTTTCCGACAAAAGTTATGTATGTATTTTTGTCCACAGAATCCGAATCGGTGGTAAAAACATGTGGTTCCTATTAAAAATTTGGACTTCCCAACCCACATCCGGGAGAAACCGGAAGTCGGTAATACGACCATCCTGTATATATATAAATGAGCCGCTGTTTAAAGTGTGACAGCGATCGAATCGATATTGCCGCCGTTCGATTGTAGAAAGACGTGTTCATCTCGGCTAGGAGAAGCTAGGTTTGAATAGAGTTGCCACATTTAAAAAATGTATATTAAATTTGATTGAGAGAACGACGTGCTCATCTCAGCTAAGAGAAGCTAGGTTTTAAGAGAGTTGCCACATTTAAAAAATTTAAATTAAATTGAATTGATAGGATTGATCAAATATCGCAATACGGGTATCAAATGCCAAAGGGTTTAGAAAGCGCATAATATTTTTTGAGAGGGTTGCCACCTGTTTGAAAAATTTTATTCCATTAACTGGATTAAGAAATATTAAAGTATTAGAAAAAGGAACGAGTCGCCACCAGTTAACAAAATTAAATTGAAAAATGCGGGTACCAATTCGAAAAGGCTTTATTTCTAAACTGCATGTAGGGGGTTGCCACCTGTCTACAAAATGAAATCGAACTTGAATTAAGGGAATTAGGCAATTGAAATATGTATTACAGCATGAGTGTCAGACGAAAATGGTTAAAGAAGGATGCAGATTGGATATAATTTAATAAGTTAAGTGAATTAATATTTATGGCTATCGATTAAAATTATTTCAAAAAGGTATAATTTTGAAACTATATTAAGGAGGGTTACCATCTGTGAAAAAGTAAAATTCAAGTTAAATTAGGGGAGTTAGGGGAATTAGGTAATTGAAATACGTATCACAGAATGGGTGTCAGACGAAAAAGGCTTAAGAACATTGTAGTTTAAAAATATTTAGTTTAAATAGTCAATATCAACTTAGATTACGGGAATAGGGTAATTGAAATACGTCAGAGGAAAGTGCTTTAAGAAGGTTTCGGATCAAAAAGAAGAAAAATGTGACAATCTCCTATGCATTTGACATTTAAGTATATGTGACCTGGTCTACGAAAAGGCGAAAACTAGTTTTCTGTGAAAAAGCTGTTAAAAGTAAGCAACTCGTTTCGTCAGTTTCTCATTATCTCGTTAATTGTTCTCCGCGCCGGACGTCCAGTAAGTGTTGTTGTTGGTCCAGTAAGTGTTGTTGTTGGTCGGAATATTATTATAGTTTTATTGTTATTATTATTAATATTATTATTATTATTATTATTAATATTATTATTATTTTTAGTACACTTCTAAGCAAGTTAGGATTTTCTGCTTTTCACCACGTGAAAAAGCATCTCATCTTCCATCCGAATCAACCAAAAAGTGAAAATTAATTTTTTGACACCTAAGCCCCCTTTCCGTAGACCAGGTCACATATGGAGTTTTGTTGAAATAAATTACTGCTAATGCAACACGCAGATATTGCATATTGCTACATAAGCCTAGTTGGAAATAATTCGGCGGAAAAATAGGGAGTTTTAATACGCCGCATTATGCCAACGAGTAAAGGCCCGTAAATCTTCCTTAATATATGTATTTCACTGGAATACTCAAGGGCCGCCGCATAGGATGTTGCCGTTGCTCGCGCTCCTGCGACAAACGCGAGTACGGGCATGATGAATGACTTATAGAGCGGGTTTTAGGCGCATATAGTTAGGGTTGCCAGACGTACTGCTTTTGGGAGTAAACGTACTCCTTTTTATTGCAATGTACTCCCTTGTACTCCCAAAAAAAAATATCTGGAAATGTACTCCTTTATAAATAAAATATTTAAAGTACTGTGGACGCAAGTGAAAATGTGACTTTTGGCAATTTTTCTAAGGGGCCCTAGGTGGTCGGGAGTAACATTTTTGTCAATGGCGGTTCATTGCCTCTCCAAAAAGGTCGGAAAAGGTGTCACGTCCACTCCCCCTTCGATGACCATCTCTTTAACAACCGTCCCTATTGGAAAGCCAACCCATATAGTTATTTATTTTTCACATTTATTGTTGCTTTGAAAAAGATTTCTAAGATATCTTTGTTTGTTTGTACCTAATTAATGGTAATTTGTAACAATAAATTGCACAAAAAATTAAAAAAAAAAAATTGTACTCCTTTTTTATGTCATGTGCTGCTTTTTTTCTATCGAAAATATAAATGTACTCCTTTCTCCGTTTCAAAATCTGGCAACCCTAGCATATAGAGAGGACTTTACATCTCAGTCGCCTACTCAGACCAAGCTGAGATTATTACCATTAGTAATGTCGGTTTCCAAATAAATGAAATTCTATACTTTTTCGAAATTATAACCATAACGTGGGTGCCGAGGCGTCAATTTAGTTTATAGTTTTCTATAAAATAACAAAAATATAAAAATTACACTTTAAAACATGACAAAAATATTTCCTCATTATCTAATGCCAAAATTTAGCAAAGATCGCGGAGTTAGCTAATAAGGATATATAATTTGATGTCATAAAGTTAGTTAGAAGCCTTCCTTTTTACTAACCTTTACCCGTGCTGAAGAAAACAAACATAGGTAAACTAAAAATTTACTAGCTATTTATGCATTTGTTGGTTGAGCATGATACTTTCTATCGTTTTATAAATAAATATAAATATATTCAATCATTAAAAATGCATTATTACTTAAATAAGCAAATAATGTTTGTCTAATACTGGCGCTTCCAACCAGTCACCAAAGCAAGAAAAAATGTTATTTGAAAAAAGTGCTTACGATAGTAACTTTGTTGAGATTTCCCACCACCACGGCCACATATTAAAGTGTAATTAATCACTTTTTTATGTACAAACGAGCATCGGAACATTTATTTGTACATGTATGTGTAGATACATATTTTCATTTGCCATTGCAACTGCAACAAAACCATACCTATGCAAATTAACCGACAAATGCGCAACTAAAATCAGTGCCTGTCTTTCGCACACTTACAATAAGTATGACTTTTTCGTATTTATCTACACTATGCGCTTAGCTGAGATGTGGCATTTGGCAATGATAAACGCGGTCAAGA